GTACTTTGTTCTTCGCCGCTCCCGCCGCGGCTGCTCGTTGTGCTGCTTTGCGGTTCACGTAATCGTACCAACCCATTAACATCGGCCAACTTTTTGCGACATTTCGAGCACTCGACTACTCGAGAGCCGGTTGTTGGAGGATGTTTCAACTGGAAACTCCTTCTGGGAGCCCCTCGAAGAATTTTAATGGCGCAAAGACAAATTGTCGTCTATCGGGCGAATGTTAATTCCGTTGACGTAATTCCACACCGGGGAACTTTCGAAGCGTTTGCGCAAATTGTGAAGAAACATAACATCGAAAGTTAATCCAACAATTTATCCGTTAAATTACTTGCCCGAATTTAAAGACGTTTTATACGTATTTTCAAAATATTGAGAATTAGTAAATATTGAGAATCAGTACAATTTTTACATCGATTCGCTAAGCGTTCACAAGTTGTAAGGATTTTAATTTGCACCGAATTAACATGTGTTCTTATGGGAAACGTAACCCAACGTCGATTCAAATGACAAAAACACATGGAAATAATATTCAGAATTTGAAAATTTGCAAAAGTTTAGATACAGAGGAAATATTTGGTCAAATAATATACAAGTACTATCTGATTAAAAAGATATAAAGTTAGTCATGTATCTGTCACAAGGCGAAATTCTCTGCCAAAAGTTAATCATTTCGATTAACAAAATTCGAAATATTTCAGTAAAAACGCAATATTAAAAAATACATCTCAGCTAAGATCAAATTGTAATATTCCACACAATTTCTCATACTCAAAATACATCAAAAGTGGGTATATTCGTCAATATATATTGATTTTTAGCTACTTTTTACTGAGATTGTACATACAAAACATCCTTAAATGCAATATTTGAATGTATCGTAAATTGCATCTCGAATTTATACAAATCGAAGAGAGATTATTTTAACACGTAAAATTGAATATGTAGGGCACGTAATTTTTTCGAAATTCGATCGAGTTAAAAACCGATCGTATGATAATGCGAGAGTTTTAATTATTCCAAAATTATTTGTAAGTTTAGTATCTCTCGCTCTTTGGAAGAAACACTAGTCGATCTGAAAAATTGAGAAAAAATCACACTCTATAAAATTCTGAAAGGGCTTTGATTTATTCGTGTTGTTTTATCCCGCGTACATTTTCTCGATGTACATCGAAATATTCATCGCGCTTTCATGTGCTTCCGATGTATCACCTATAAAATCGCGCGACACGAATACCTTTAGTGTAATCGCACGGAAGAGACAAGAAATGACATTTCCAATATGACATGAAAGTGGAAAACGGATCCATTCTGTAAATGCATCCGGTATAATCGTTAATAATCAACGTAGTTTATGAAATTTTAATAATTTATCGTTAAACGTTTTTAACATGCTAAAAAGATTAAGTACTATGAGCAAAGAAATATAATTATATATCTTTCTTTGCAAATATTTTAAACGTACAATTATACATAATGTATATTTTTTAAATGCATATTTAAAATTTTTTAACATTTTTATGATTAAATAAACATTCGAGCAAAAATATATTTTAGTTACATTCATTAATATTTCTCTCTGATTTCTCTATATTATTTCAAAATGCTTCTCGGATAACGTCGACATTGCTAATCCGGTTTTCGATCTACTATCTCGAATAGTCAAATGTCATTTGACTCAAATATATCCGACTGTAACTAATATAACAGTCAATATGTCTAAAAGTATAATAATATTCGTTGAATTAAAGAAGAGATAATAATAATCTTCTTTGGATCAATAACTGTTTTGAAAGCTGAAATATTATTTTATACATGAGTCGTACATATAATCATTTGCGAACGGGATGTCCAGTTTAGAATGACGTTTAAAGAATTATAGACTCGTCATTAAGCTTTTGATAGACGTAGGTACTTTTTAAAAACGGATATTGCACTCCATTACTATTGTTCGATATATGATTTATCGGTCACAGAGCTTATCGATGATGACAGGAAAGATCGCATGTTACTAACACAATTCGCCATTTTCGCTTCCATTCGTACATCCATAGATGTTGTTAATCCTTTCGATTCTCGTAGCGTTGAATGCATCGCTGCAACAAATTACTAGGATCGTGCTCGAGCGCGACTGAGAGAGCTCCACAAATCCGCCATCAAACAATTCAACGAGACACTGCGATACAATACAGAAAAATATGGAGTGCTAAAACTGGTATCGCGGAATGTCAAGAATGACCAACGTCAAAAAATATGATTTATACATAAAAATTGCTCCCCATAATTCTTCCCTTCGCTAGTATTTCACAATTGTTTTACAGGAGGGATCGAATAAGCGGAATAAACAACCGTGTATAGGAAATGAAACACGGTACGTCGTGTAATAATTTATTCGCCCGATAATAATAATAATAACAACGATAATAATACAGGATCATCGCGTAACCGGCTAGAATTTATATTGAGGTTTCAACCCAGGAAGTAGTTTACACTCTAATTGAATCCGGCAAATATGTTTGCCCCGAAATCCGAAATGAAGCTTCCGCCTCGCGCACTCTCGCATCTTTCTCCGCGTGCGTTCGCCAACTTCAATTTCACAATTTCGCCAAAAATCAGTCTGTAAATTAAAGCGCGACAGAGAACAGTGGTACGATGGATGAGAGAGATAGGGGGGGGGGGGGGAGAGAAGGGGCGATAAAAATCCATCCGCTTGTGTCCGCTTTAGCTCGACGGGAGCGAGAGCTCCTACTCGGGGGATTTAGGAAGCGAGAAAGTTTGCTCGGACGATGCCGCGTTAAATTAAATTACGGCGAAATTGCGGCACGAATTTGCGCATTGCTAGCTCGTACCTGTACACATAGAAAGTAAAGGGAAACGCGAGCGCGTAATAAGAGGCATGTGTGAGATTGCAGCAAATATATTATATAAGATATGAATCGCTCATTTTTTCAATTTCGTCCAATTTTTTGCAAAAGACCGCGACCTTCCCATTTAGTTGACATTCGCGTAAATTTGCAAATGAATGAGATAAAATTTTCAAGTGGACGTGTATCGCAATTAGCTGCATCTTTTCGATGGAAATAAAATCAAGAGGAATATTAAGAGAACAAAAAATCAATATCACTTATTTATTTGTTTACTTGATTGGAAGCACTTCCAATATTGAATTTTGGAAATTTATATCGTACAATTTTCCTATTTTCCCGTCTAAATTCCCGCCAACGGAGAGACCTCCTGGAACATCTAACATTTAATTAACAGGAGGATAGAACATCGTAACACGAGTCTACGGATACGGCTAAGGCACCGTACATTTTCGTCGGCAAACAATCAACGCGCGCAATGTTGCTCTTTAACGGTCTCGTTGAATCTATATTTTAGTTCTTAGCGAAACTAGCGAATTTTCGGCAAGAATAGTTGTTGAGATATCTTGATGAGCCGAATCAATTTGCAGAAATTTTGTTTAACGATGCGAAACTTTATTTTCGCACGAATCATAATCATATATGCATGCATAAGAGCAACTGTGTAATTTGATCGTGTAAGAATATTTCCATGAAAGCAGAGATATAACTTAAGGCTATCATTTCACACTCGAGTACCGCGGAAAGGAAGCCGAATGGCAAAGGACACGTATTCGTTACTTGCTTCCGTACTTACCGGATACTTGCCAGCAACCACTCGCTCATTACCGCGAGTTACTTAGTGATGCATTAATGCGGAGCCCGAGCACACTCAGTGGTCCATTTCCGTGCGCTCGAAGGTTTGCCTTTCGCCTCGCCGGACCATATGAAAGGAGTACTGTGAAAGGAATAGATGGAAAGAGCGAGAGAGAGAGAGAGAGAGGAAGAGAGACGCATTTATATTTTACAATTGTGTTCCCTTGCAATATATATTAGTATTATTATTGAGGATGTATTTCTCGCGTGTTTATTGTGACATTTTTTTATTAGCAGTTTTCTTCTCTCATTCTCACCTTCATACTCGTCTTATCCTTTATATCCCCTTCTCCCTCTTTTCCTCCTTGTCTCGAGCTTTGCTTTATTTTCCTTACGAATGCGAAATTGTAAAAGTCTGACGAGAAACTATGGCGAGGTACAAGCGCGTTGCGAGCACCAATGTTACCGAGGAAATCAGCTTCTCGGACGTACTTAAGAGATGGAACATGCGCAAACGCAATTTTTCATCACAGCTGGAAAGTCCGCGAAGGCTGCACTCTGCAAAATCAGGGAGACGCCCGCCACAGGAATTACTTTCGCGTGTCGCGCAGACATAATTCCGGTGACGTCTATCTTTCTTTTTACATTTTTTGTTGTTGTAGAATAGAGGGAAAAAAAAGGGGGAGATCGCTGCATCATCTTTATTAATTGTCCTTACTTAAAGTGCAGTCCCTTCATGCAAAATGTATTATTTTGAGAAGCAGAGGATATTAATTCTGCGCACAATTTTACACATTTTATATTTTATTAAAGGAATAATGTCATATATAATTAATAAATGCAGCAAATAAATATTTATTTATATTAAATCGCGCGCCATCCATTCGATGAAATTCACACGTATTCCTCCATCTCCCACGTCATGTTTTTTCACCCTTTAACTCGGTGAAACCGTGCGTCGCCGGCGCGATTGCGTGACACGAGACTGTCACATCTCGCTGGCAATTTGTCACGATTTGTTTTATCATCGGTTTAGCCGAACATATATAGCGATGTGCTCGTGTAAGCGACCGTACGATTACGGGCGCGATGCATACATCATCACGCAAGAATACATTTTTGCGCGCGGCGTGACTTTGAATAGCAAATTACCGGCGACTATTGTTGCTAATCTTTTAATATCGCCAGCGGATACCACAAACGCGTTATTTCCATCCTTTAATCCGAATAAAATATTGCCGGCGACGCGATAACGCAACGCAATGATATATATTTTCATTCGATATAATAAAAATTTTATGATAAGAATCTCTGCGTCATAATATGACTTTTCCTTTTCAGATCGAATTAATTGATCAGCGAGAGTCAGCATCGAGGCTCCTATCTTATTCAGGAATCAAAACTCTCTAATTGGAACGAGCCACCAGCAGCGAATGGTATGTATGAAAGGAATCTCGGAATTTTGCAGATTTTCGTCCCAAGTTTGCCGATGTTAAAATAGTAACGTGTTTGTGTGGGTGTGTTTTGGTGCCCCACCGCGGCATGAATGGTCGCGCTTGATAACAAAACTCGTTGCGACGAGGATATTAATGCCTCGCGCGAAGACGCCCTTAATAAGTCCGCGACGTAATGAAAACCATTCATATAAAAGTTTTCCGCGGACGCTGACGCTTTAATTGAACGAGGAGGATCGCGTTGCGCCGCGGTCTCTCTCTCTCCTCCGCTTTTCTTACACCAAGCTGTAACAAGATGTCAGAGATTACCGGGGACTCTTCTCGCTTCGTTGGCTCCCCCGTAACTTTCGTATCCCTCCCCGGTAACTTTCATTAAAAATTTCCTATCGGGCGAATCCCGCGACGAAGTCTGCCAATTTGTTATCGAGCTCGCCACTTTCATCGGGAATCGAGTCGAAAGTTATTCACTTGTTCCGCCATCGGCGAGACAAAAAATACCAATTCTCCGGAAAACGAATGGAAAGCTCCTTGGGATGATATAACGAAATTCCGAGCGTTCGGCTATAAATTAATTATTTCTAGATACGACGAGAGACAAAGAGATAGAGAGGAAGGAATTGAAATTCAAATGAATTTATTATGCAAGAGGAGGAGGAGGAGCTTTGTGTCGCGGAATTTATAATTGATGTCATCGGAACGTTGCAAAATTCCTACGAGCCGCGATACGTGGGTTCATTTTAATACACATGTCGCAGACGCGTCGAATACCGAAAGTCGACTGCCGGTGGAAAATTTCTCGCGCCGGATTTAATTTACTTATTCCGATCGAATGACAGACGGCACTCGCTGCGTTTAATCCCATCGCGGTCGGATTCGTAAAAAAAGCATGGGAAAAAGGTCCGATGCATCGTACTCGCTGTCGTCGTTCGCCGTTCATTTCCGTGGACATCCGCCACTTTCACGTTCTTTTTCGCGCCCACTGTGGCAACCAGTGGGGCTCATTAATTTTTCATCGCTCATCCCCGGTCATATAGCGCCGATTTTAGGGTCGACCGGAATAAACGAGCTACCAATTTTTGCGGCACCGGCGCCGTCCGCTTCGATTTAACGAGCGTGATTTAATCGCGCCCCGAAGCTCGCTCACCCCGCAAACCACCTCTGTAGCCCCCAGTCTGGCCCCCGTTTAGGGGCAATTAATCCAGCGGAAACGCACGGGTCGATCGTACCTCGACAGAGCATAGTAATTGTTGCCGGGAGCCTCTAAACGCAAGCGATATATCTAATATTTGCGAATCGCACTTATCGACCATGCGCCTCCCAACCAGCGAATACGTTGTCTTTTTCCTCGGGTCTATCACTAGCGAGAGATCAGACGCGCTGGAATGAAATGGAAGCAGGACTTGAAAAAAAAAATAAATTATGTGATTATTTATATTCTCGTATCTTTTTTCAAGAGACATGCAAAAAAAAACATATTTAGTATATTTGAAAAAGGTAGATAAAAAAAAGATTTTATATATTATTAAGAATATATATACAAATTAACTGAAATATTTTAATTATTTAAAAAAATAACAATTTTCCCAATATTTTTAGGCGTTTTGAATGTGAGGGAATTATGATTTATTTATTTTCAAGAACTGTTTTATTAAAAGACAAATTTGTCCCGTGAATGTTTACATAAAGCTGCAATGTTTGCGCTCGCACACATACATTAAGCACGTGTATGTACCTTAGTATACATCTCTCTAATCCGGAATCGCGATAATACATAAATTCTTGCTTCATCGTCGAGATTTTACGTCGATATACGTAAACCTCCAGGGCATATATTTTGCATCATCCATAAAAGATATGATTATTAATATAAAATATTTTGAAAATTAATAGAAAATACCGCTTATTTATACATTTGTCATTTCTCACGTGCTATTTCTATGCGCGATCATTAAGAACGATTAGATCTATTAATGAAGCTAATCGAGGCCGTTATCTCGACCGCGTCTCGACATCGAAAACATAACAAGTCCCTGCGTTCCGACGCATTAATTTCAGGCACGACGTTTTATGCACGTACAATATACGAAGAGGGGAAGGAGAGGCGACCCTGCGTGTTAAGCATCCCTATGAATAGAGATGTGTAGGGAGAGGGGTAGGTACATACATCGGAGGCATTACCGCCAAGTGTAATGCAAACGAACGTACATTCTCTTTCCCGTGGAAAATGTTAAAGTGACACGACACGGTCAGCAACGTCGGTCAGGAACGAAGCGAACAGCTCCGGCCGTCAATAAACTCGCTCCTACTCTCTTCATTATAATGCCCGTTTAATTAAATACCTCCGCGCACATCCCATTAGAACGTCAAACAATAATTCAGAAATTCCTACGCTCTTCTCCATCCCGCGTATGTACATGTGCCACGAAGATTGTGCATGCGTGGGCGATTCTATTGTCATAAAAAAAACGCGTAATCGCGCACGTTTGTTCTCGTCGATGAAACGCGGCTTGAATGACTCCGTCGCGTGTTCGACTTTAATTCGCGCGGCCTCTCCCTCTCCTGGAGGAGCTCGTAATAATATCATTATATCTTACGGTATGCGAAGCGCGGGAGATGCGAGATATGTACTTACGTATGGAAATAATACTCGGCGAACTCGCTATAATGTTATTCACCGTAATAACTCGTCTACGGACGTTAACGCGTACGGTGCTCCGAAATTTCGACTCGACTTGGCGAAAACTTGAGTAATTTTATGCGCGAACTGATAGAGACTCCAACTGTTTCTCGCGAATGTATTTGCTACTTTTTTTGCATCTTACTAGTGATATCGATCTACTATTGATGTCTGATAATTAAATAAGAATTTAATAAGAAATTATAATGATTAAGTAAATGTTATTTCGTCGCCTGTTCAACGTACGCATTTTATTAACTGTGACGCAATATCGATAATTAATAAACGAGCCGTGAGGAATTTTTTAAAAATTTCAGACTTCCATATTGCGCATTTTTTCACATTATCGGGACTTTATCGAGCGTATCGCATGTCGTAGATAAAGACCTCTCTCCGTTGACGAGATATCGAGATACTTGAATCAGTCATAGTGTAACGTGCGATCGATCCAGCGAATCAATTCGACGGCATTTTACGTCGTGAGTGTCATCGTGGCACAATTCCGTCGTAATCCGCGAGATGATCTCGCACGCAAAAAGGCGAGAAGTACCTGTTGAAAGAGCCTTCCAGAGAGGAATCCGTTCGCGGCTCCGCTCGTCGAGTTCCCTGAAGTTTCGACGGGAGTTGACGGTCTTGGAGAAACTTGCGAGATCGATCGGGTCGGGGTTTGAGTTCGCCGCATCCGCTACGCTGGAGTTCTGATTGGATGCCGATGTAATTCGGTGAACGCTTATGCATGATCCTCGGCGAAGTAATACGTGTAGGTTACTGTCGTAGGTGAGTTGCACGTGAGAAAGCTTGGAATGCCTGAGCGTGGATGTCGCGTTGTTAATCATCTGTGTGGGTGGAAATAACCGATCGGTGTCAACATTGAATGATACATCGACAACGATGCATCGAATGAACATTTATGGCGTAAGAAATGCAAGCTTTAGTTAATCCACTCTCTTGTGATCGTGTAAGGATAATGATTTTGTAATAAAAGCAAAGGAGGCTCTTATATAAATAAATTAAACAATAATCATTATTGTTTAATTTGTTGGATTATTGTTTAATTTAATGATTTTGTATTTCGGTGATTTAATTATGACGTGAAATTATAATTAGCGTATTTTGAAATTGCCTTTAGATTATTATTAATTTTCGAAAAGAATAGAAATGAGGACGCTGTGAATTTACGTATTATCTCTTCTATTTCTGTCCTTTTAAGAAATATTCCATGCATTTTATTCTATTCGCCAACTTATTTAAATATTCTATATTATTGATTTCCGAATGCTCAGCGGGCTAAATGGATATTTTATTGCGTCTAAAAAAGAGAGTTCGTGTTTAATTTATTTAGTCGATTCAATTTAAATGATATTAAACGTTTAAATAATCAAGTGCAATTAAATATCACTTAATTCTAATTAAATGTAACATGTTATATACAAAAACACGCTTTAAATAAACATGGAATACAGATTATATAACACGTACAGAGAAAATAAATTCATGTTTGATGTACTTTCTCTGTTATCTCACCGTTATTTTTATCTCGAGTGTGTCATATGCTATCAGCCATAGCACTCGCATAAGAGCGATACTTTTTCTCACTGTATTATGGTTAAAGAATACGAGAAATGTTCTCACGGTCGATAAGATAAGATTGAAATTTTGTACGGGACATCTCTACTGCTCCATATGCTGCTGATCGCAGTGCAATCTCATATGTATTGTAATCTTGTCGGTTGCTGCGCAATTCGCTTAGACGTGTCGGCGTCAACTCGTTAAAAAACTTCGACTTTCGAATGCAAGATTTATTTGCTCGTTATTTTAACCGCGTATTCGATCATTAAAATCTCATTCCAAGAAAAGCGTATAAGAAAATTAATTATACAATTTTATTTTTGGTTGTTGCATATTTAAAATTCTAGCAAGAAAGTTTCATATCTTTAAAATTAAACTCCTCTAAGTATTTTTCGTTTTATTTTCTTGTTTAAATATTAATTAAATCTTATTGTTTTTCCGAAATGCCAATAAAGGTTTACATCCTTTTTTAAGAGACATTTTTTCATTTACAACGTTATTAAATTTCTTTTGATGGAAGCGATTCTAATTCTCTTTAATTTCATCTATGATCAATTACATCTATTGGTCGAATATTTTCGACGATGTTTTGAGAAGATTTAATCGGGAGACGCTTATTAGTAAAAATTCGTTTAATTGCACCGCATTAAATTTATTCTAGAATTAGAATAAATAGAATCGAAAGAAAGAAATAAATCGATAAACTGTGTATCCAAAATAGAAGTCAGTGATTGAG